GCCTGTCAGGAACGCGATCCTCGTGACAGTTGCATTTCTTACACCCTCATGTCGGAGTCGTGCTTGGAACTTGTCCACTGTCACAAGGGTCGGGTGTGTTTGGGAAGAGATCCTCGCGACAGCTGATGGCTTTGGAGCCACCATGCGGGAGAAGTGCGCGCAGTCACGGGATTCGGCATGGCTGGAAGTGGGTGTGGGGGGGAGGGGGTGGTGGGGTGATACCGAGGGGAGGGTTTAGGGTTGAATTAGAGTATAGTGCAGTCCTGCGTGATAAAGAACTTCATGCCCATTCCTTGCATCTATCTAGACCAAGCCCACCCAGACTGCAGACTGCCAGAGGCATGGCAGACGTGGGAGCTTGAGGAAGAGGATCAATCTGAGGCCCTCATGCCGGCTCGTCTTCTCAGGGCGAGATCCAAGCTTCTGACCTCGAGGCGTAGATGCGAAGGAGGTTCCGGGGCAGATGATGCAAAACTTGTGTTGTCTGAAGAAAAACCGGAAGAGTCCAGTAACACTAGCACAGAAATCAAGCTGGTGAAGTCGATGAGCACAGAGCATGGCACGGCCTCTGAAGAATTTCAATGCTGGTTTGCGATAATCAATTCAGGATACGTTACAAATCATCATGAAAGAGTTAGCGATGACCATTTCCATTGTCTAGCCATTCTAATCGTGTTCTTCAGGTGGGTCTTACTGTGGGTTTTTTGGTGGGTTGGGGATTGAGGTATAGGTTGTTGTGGTTTGGGGGCTAGGGGTGGTGTGCATGGTTAGAAACTGGAAATGGTCATCACTAACTGAAAGTCCCTTGTATTACATCCGAGCACCCAGATGGGTACAACCTCGCATGGATCCGAAAAGGAGGAGAGCTTCCCGGGCATGCACACAGAGCCGGACTCTCACCGCTTGCTTCCTTGGGGCTCAGAGTTTTGGGAAGGTCCATGTTCGCATTGAAGAGCTGTGGGAAGAGGTCCGCATGCGAGGCGCGAGGTTAGAATCGTTGGATCGTGGCGCAGACGCCGAGACAACCCTTCCATCGGTACGCCTCAGAGCCAAGTCGGTACTGCCTCGAAATTCCCTGTTCCGCCGAAGCCTTTCCACTTCTTTCCCAGTTTTGGAGATTGGTCTCCGCCTGCGGCCGCGGAGGAGCTCTACTCCCAGCGGTTTGATGTATTGTGGTGATTTCGGCGCAGTCTGGCGGGGACTTTGCTGAAATACTTGTAATCCGTATGTAGTGTGAGTGAGTGAGTGAGTGTGCGTGTGTGCGTGTTTGTGTGGATATGTGTGTCATCTGGAATCGGCTCATAGGGGTATAGCTTGACCATTACCGGAAAATGCCGGTACTTGTTGTCCCGTGACCCTGGCGCGGGTGACTTCTCCCCGTGCAGGCAACCCCTTGCGGCACGTCTCATTTCCCAATTACTCGCCGTACAGACCCCGTAAACTGTTAGTAATAATAGTAATTGATAGTCTTAATCGTACGAATAATAACATCAGTGGGCTGCCTCAGGTCGGAAACGGATCAGCTGATGGCTCGGTAGGAAATGCAGAGACGCCACTGACCAGTTCCAAAGGTCCTGGGACCTATGGACGTACTTCAACTTTCGACTTCTCTGTCTTATATAGTCTCTACGCAGAGCTACCGTCGAGGGGAAGTGCGGCCATTGTTGCATACCTGTTTTGCTTCCCGACAGCAGCAGTGCGTGCGACATGCGATCGCATTGCGGCTTGCTGTTTACAGGGATGCTGCAGGAGCAGCTTCTGTTTCATGCGGCTCATAGAATGTAGGTCTTTGCCGGCTTGATTCATCCTTACTCTTGTTTGCTCGTGGGGCTGCAGCGTCCAGTGACACTGCAGCTGGCTCCGGGGGCTTTCATGAGGCAGGGCGCACAGATCAGAAGCAGCCTGTTTTGTGATTGCCAGGGAAAGTGTACAATGACATGCAAATGTGTAGAGCAAATAACGCACTGTATGGCGGTCTGGCCTGAAAGCCAGTGTGTCAGAGTGTAAAGGAACATCAGGATGCATCATGTCATACAGTACCTTGACATATGTATGTATGTATGTATGTATGCATGCATGTATGTATGTATGTATGTATGTAGGTACATACGTACATACATACATACATACATACATACATACACACGCAACACGTTGTCCTGGCATATCCGTTGCATTTGCGAACCCAAATACTGTGACTTGAGCAGAGGGCTGTCTTGCTTCCGGGCTTCTTAAGCCTTAAGCTTCGGGTTGCCAGCTCAGCTACGCACTGCTACCTCTGTCTCTGGAAACTTCCAGTTCGAAAGCCCTGTTGGCACGAAACAAGCTGGAGAGAACTGGCTGGCGGGGGTGAGAGCATCCTTTGCGAGCGCTTGAGATCAAAAAACATCACAGGGAATCAGCAGTATATGTTTTGCGCAGTGTTCCCACCTCAGGACAGCAGTTGAAAGTTGGCATCCTCAAAGGAGCCAGCAACACGAGCGAAGGATCGATGCAAAAACTCGGTGCTGACGGCCATCGTATGCCTGCAGTTCAGTATCTTGGCTCTATCTTGTTCTTTGTTGAATAGCAGAGGTCAGAAGACCGAGTGGCTCAGCATAGACCGAGTGTCTCGGCGGTATGATTCCACCAGCAGCACACGGTAGCGTAAGGCAAGAAGGGTGACAGGTGGCAGAACGGTTGGACCGGCGATCTTCTTGAAGCATTGGGCTCGACGGGGCTCATGCCAGGTGCCGACAAGGTTTGGCAGAAGATAAGCAGGTTGAGACCTAGCTCCGGAGCAGTTCATGACCTCAAGGGATTTGACCTGTATGCAACTTCAGACTCCGTCGTGTTTCCAAAATGTTGGGCCATGACCTGACCGCTTACTTAGACTCCTGTGCCTGCCTGCGTGGACTTCTCGCGTGGAGCCGAAGACCTGGGAGCGCGTCGAGTGGGCCTGGCATCATCTTCAGCGGGACTGGCTCCTCCTGTGCTCAGCCAATGCTCCGGTGCGCCATCGGAGGGGATGGCGGGGTCCCCGGCTGCCAGTCCTGTGCCGTGGCCCTGCGCTATGGTCGGGGAAACCCAAACTGGAGGAACAATGTTGGGCTGATTGTCAGATGGGTGCAGTCAGATGGCAGAGTGAAGCACGTGCAGATCGACTGTGGTAAGACCTACCGTGAATCCGTGCTGACGGTGTACAAAGAGCACAGGGTCTTGTCGTTGGATGCAGTGTTTTTGACACATGACCATGCTGACGCAATTCTCGGTGCTTGGTCGACAATTAGTCACTCTGTCATCGTTAAGCTGCTTGCTACATTGTTCATAAGACTGCAACGCACATGCATGGCCACCTCAGCCTTTCTGTCACGCTGCCACGTATCATGCCATACAATCTCGTGGTCTCAGGCCTGGATGATCTGCGACAGCTCCAGCCTTTTGACCCCGTGACGCGTCGAGTGCTGGGCCCACCGATGCGCTGCTTCTGTGACCGCCGCACGCTCCTGCACTGCCGCTGCTTGGCAGCTCCTTGCAGAAGCCGGTGTGAGCCACGATTGTCTCTGCAAGCAGCCGAGGACGTGCCTTTCCCTACCTTTTTCCCAAGGTGGATACGGGGAAGGCCCTGCGACTTGTGCAGGCTTTTTGCCAGTGCAACAGCGATTGCGATGGCGACTGCCAGCCGGACATGCCGGACCAGAGCATCAGCCCCAACGCCCCAGAAAAGGTGACACGGTTTGTCGCCAGCATGGAGTGGAAGGACTGGGTGACGTGCCAGGGATTTGCGACAATTGAAAGCGATGGGTTAAATCCTCCCCTTTGTAATCATAAACCGCATGCAGTGACGAGAGGCGTCGTCCTCTGTGCCACATCATCGGTAGCAAGATCCCCAAATGCATGCACAGGAGATTCCAGAGGATACCTCCCCGTTCTACGTGGATGGCTTTCCATTTCATGCGCTGCCAGTCCTGCATGGTGCAGACTACACCTGCTTTGGCTATGGTTTTGGTTCCCTCGGTTCCAGCACCTGGGTAAGTCCAAGCAACTCTTTAACTTTGGCATGAACTTGTCAGTGGATTGCTAGAAGTAAGTTTCATCTTACTCCGCAACTTGCAGCATGGAGCTCGACACTTTGATCGCACGATGCATAGTGGCATAGCTGGCCTTGAGTTGAAACGACGGGGCGGCAGCCAGTATACACGTCAGTATGACGAAGGGATCGGCCGAATAAACGAGTCTTGCTTGACTGCAGAAGTGCGAGGAGTGGTGTATATATCTGACTACACCGCCCTCTTGCCAGAGACTGAAGCCCTGCTGGAACGTTGGAGCAGCCAGCCGGCCCGCGCCCGAGCATACTCCTCTTAATTTAACGCCCAGGGCCCTAAACCCAAAACCCTAAACCCTAGACCCAACACCCAAAACTAAACCCCAAAACCCAAAACCCAAAACTAAACCCCAAAACCCAAAACCCAAAACTAAACCCCAAACCCCGAAGCCCAAAACTAAACCCCCAAATCCCAAACCCTAAAGGAGACTGCAAAGCTTCCTTCCCCGGAGCCCAGATCCGATGTGGCAGAAGACCAACTCGCAACAAAAGCTCCGAGGGGTTTTGGGTTCCTTTGAGTCCTTTGGGCTGAGGACAAGATCTCCATCTTGATTCTCGACGTCCTCTTCCCAGATGCCACGAAAAGCACGGTGCACGCGAACCTGGAGGAGACGAGCTCTCTCTAGGTGAGGCTACCTGTGGGCCAGTTTAAAATGCCGGCCTAGCTGGCCTAGCTTAGGGGATTAGGGGTTTAAGTGTCTTAGGGCCTTAGGCTGAGACTCAAACCATGTGAGGAGAGCCTGGACTTGGTGCGGCGGTTTCGCCCGGAGAAGGAGACTCGGAGAGTTTGGGGTTTGTTTTGGAGCCATGATGGTTTAGGCTCCCCGGTTTTTGGCGGCTTCGGTTCTGAATTGAGGCTCATTGGGGGAGCTGGTGCTGTGGCGCCTGGTGTTTTGCAATGCTCAAGTGCATGTGACAAAGGGAATGACACTCTGTGTCCTGACTGCCGGCGAGGCCTTCTTCGTCGGTGTTGGCCACTATTGCCCCTTGTCGTTACGTAGTCATCAGCATCGCGGGATGAAAGGAACGTTTTCCTCATGAGGTCAGTGTTCCCGCTGAGATACGGATGTGGACCGGTCATGTGCTACTTGCTGTAGAAACACTTGCTGCATGTCACGGTGCTAGCGGCAAACTCCACCCGACACCCGCACACTTACTCGCGACGCAGCATATTAGACAGTATGCTGACGTGCAGCCTGCTTGTCAAGTGAGAGCTTCCACGAGTAGCAGCGAGGGCTGCGACGGGACTCAAGACAGGCAGTGCAGGTGTAACAACAAAAAACGGTTCGGCCGCCTCTTGCCGTTGCTGAAATGCGGCAAACCCTAAATCCTAAACCCTAAACCCTAAACCCTGAACCCTAAACCGTAGGCGCGTCTTCAGAGCCTCAAGGCTGCAGCTCTCAACTCTCGAGGCCCTTCAGAGTGATGTAGGGGACCGAACAAAAATGATAATACTATTCCTTAGCGTTCCTTCCGTGTTACAATCGTAGTCAAAATACCCTTGAAATCTTCGAATCATTGAATCAAAGGCTCTTCAGAACTAGTCACCAGATGACGAAGGCGAACACCATGCAATGAATCGCCAGCTCCGCCTCTCGGTTGCCAGCTTAACTGCCTTTCTCCAAGATCAGGGTTTAGGGTCTTCCTTGTTTACAGATTATATATGAAGATGGCAGATGGAACGCATTCAACAGTTCAACAGCAGGAGCGGGTGCATCAATCCCGCTGAGCCGAGGCAAGCTGTGGAAATCTGAAGGTCTTGACGTGCAGCTCGCCCACGACGCTTGGCTGAAGCCTGCCGTTTCTGCACATGAAAAAGCAGTTGTCGAGTAATTCTAGTATGTTTCTAATAAGGAACCCAAAGGAATTATATAGTTAATTATTCATTCTATAAGCCTTAGACCCTAAACTCCTTAACCCAATAATGTAGCTGGAAGTAGCTGAGGATGGTCTCTTCGTCCCTGTTGACCTTTCGACGTCGCTGAGCGACGCCGTGAGCCCCGCACGCGAAACTTAGCGGGACACTAGGCCTTTGGGTGCCGCATGGGGCAGCATAAGCCCTAAATCCCTAAAGCCCTGAACCCTAAAGCTCTAAGGCCCTAAATCCCTAAAGCCCTAAAGCCCTGAACCCTAAAGCCCTAAGGCCCTAAAGCCCCAAAGCCCTAAACGTGAAGCCTCCTGCAAGAAGCCTTGCTCTTGCAAGAGACTCTCGGCTCTATGAGCTCTGCGATGCCCTCCGGCCCAAAGGCGGCCTCGTGCAGATCAGACCATCGCGACCTCATGGAATCCCAAACGGAGTGCGGAGATTTCGTGAGAGTTGGGGCGGGGCATATGTATGTGTATGTGTGTGTGTGTGCATATTATATATATATATGTATACATAATTTTTTATTTTCCAAGTCCAAGCATTCAGAGGAGTTCGCGGCCTGATTAAGTTGCAAACGCGAAACCTCTGACTGCCAGTATGCCCTAGCCGATGTTCGACACAAGCTGAGCAGAAATCCGGCACATCAGGGTTTAGGCAGGGAAGGCAAGCCGCTGTAGACCCAGCCAGCTGCACAGCAGCACGTAAAAACCGTAAGCGGTTAAGCCACATCATGCCACAAAACCAAACTACCTACTTCGCTCAGCTCAGGCATCCTTTTGGGCTATTTTGCATGGAGCGGCAAACATAAGGTGCCCTGGCGATTGGCTTCCACGCAAAGATTGAAACTCGGAAGATGCTTTGTGTTCCGTAATTAGTCGGCGATCATAGCACCAAACAAGCTACACTTCCAAGCCGCGTCCGGTCCTGCACAGAGACTTCGTGTATGCGAAATGAGGGGAAAAGAAACCCGCACTAGAACTTCTAAAGCGCGAGTGTTTAACACCAAGGTGCAATGCGGCTATTTAAGCTCCACAATGCGATATCAGTCCGGGAGCAGCGCTCACTAAACATTGTTGTTTTGCGATGCCGAGTCCAACGCAACATGGCGGCAATACAGGGGCTGCCAGATGCTGCCAGTTCCGGTGGCGGCCCAGAAATTGCGCCATAACAGTGACGTCAGGGCAGAAGGAGCTTCCGGTAGTGCGGCGACCAGACTCTCTCGTACCTTGCAGGGAAAGACGCAGCCGCCTCACAGGTTGGTAGACAATGCTGCTCGTCAGGCGCCATTTCATGCCATTTCTTGCTCCAAGAATTGAAGATGTACGTCATCACCGAAGTTCTCCACCCACATGTTTATGCAGCACAGTACACTGCCAGAGCATGTCATGAAGGCGAAATGTCCTGCAGTGTAAGGGCAACTTTCGTGCCTGATGCTTCGCTCACCATCTTACTGGAGCTCACGGGCGTTCCGCCTTTCACAGAGCGGCCGTTGCACGCGGTACATGTGCCTTGGCCTTATTATATTGTTTGCCCCAATGATGCCCCCGAACATAATGTCAGGGTATTGTGCTTGCGACCCCTACATTAAAGACAAGCCCCTCTACCGTTTTGTTTTCGTCTTTCGTCGCCAGCCACAAGTCTAACCCTTGGTTTCCCATTCCGGTCCATGTATCGGCCTGGTGACTAGAATCGTTCTCTGGAGTATGTTTGGATGCAGTCGTACACGGTCCGGAACTTGGGTGATCGTGAGCTACTTTTCTCCTTAAAGACCCTACAGAAACCCCACTTTCCGCAAGCTCCCTCTCGCGGCCCAAAGGAAACTCCATTTCTTCATGTATGCCAGCATCGACATCTACAGCTGCTTGGCTTTTGAGACGGATCGGAGAAAGATTTGGGGTTTCGGGTAAGAAGGTTAATTCATGTGTTTGCAAAGACGTGGGGCTCAAAACCCAAAGCTCTGAAAATGTTAGGCCCGTGGGCTGGTGGTTAGAGTTGAGGGTTTTTATTGTACTTTGTGAAATCAAGTGTGGGTTTCAGGTTCAGGGTGTAGTGCAGGTTCGAGATTACATTAGTTTAGTTTAGGGTGTACGCGAGGGGGTGCAGCCTGGGCCTTTATGCTTAAGTTGGGGGGATCAAGACAGCAGCTAACCTTTTATCTACATGTCATGTGGATTATTAGTGTTGGGTCGACTTTGTGTTGCGGCTTTAGTTCAGCTTCGGGTCCTGCTTTAGTGTAAACGATACAGGTTTCTGTTCAAACCAGTTTAGAGCAAAATCAGACGGTAAGCCGTTCTTCATGTTTGCCACTGGAAGGATATAGGATCAGAGTGTGTGTAGTGTGTAGGTTTAAGATTCAGGTTCAGGGTGTTTTTGCGGGGTTTTTGTTCCGGTTTTAGGCTAGGGGTTCGGGCTTCGGTTTGTCTGTTACGTTTGGGGATTTCGGCTTAGATGTCATGTTGTTTTTGGGGTATTGTCAATTGTGGGGTATTGTTCAGGTTGGGGCTGGTATAGGTTTTAGGTTTTAGATTACTTAGACGTTTATAGGCTTAACATATTGGTGTAATTTTGTCGCCCAGGTTTCTCATCTTGGGCGGCAGGACACTGGTGGCCCTGCCTGACCCTCAAATTGGCCTGGGGTTTGGGGTTTGGGGCAATCCCTAGCTCCAAGACTCTAAGCAGGTGTTGGGCTTCGGTTTAGGTTTTGGTACGGGTCGTTTCGGGTTTAAGTTTAGGGCCCAGGTTTTTAATTTGGTTTTGGGCCAGGGTTTTCAAGGTGTAAGTGTTTAGGTCAGTGGCTTTAGCTGGTTTGGGGTGTAGGTCTGAGGATTTAGGTTCACGGAGTTTGTTTTCGATCTGCATTGTATGACCGATAATCTAGGTTGAGTTCTCATTGTGACACGTGAGCTCTTGCTGCTTCAAACCTAATTCGCTTTGGGCACCATCATCAAACTCAATAGCCTCATACCACTTGCATGTTCCCTCCTATGAAAGCTTCAATTGAAATAAACACTTCTGGCTTCATAACCCTACCCTAAACCTTAAACCCTATATAGAATCGCGGACATCGTGGACACGGACCGAGCACAGAAAAATGGAGCCATACTCGATTGCGCAGTTCAAGCAGCCCTCTGGATCTAGGATTTTTGTGCGGGGAGAACGACCCGGACTGCCGCACGATGAAGGTTGCCGATTTGCATCAAAAATCGAGGGCTTCGCTTCGTGGGTTCGGCCTGCCCTTTGCACTCCTTTTGGAGTCGACCCGAAATTCATCGAGCCGGTCTGACTACGACGCTTTTTTCTCGATGCGAATCTCGCCCACCGCCGCCGAGGGCCGACGTGGGAATCTCCTTCCTTCTGCTGCTTGCACTGCTTTCTGCTGCTGTGCCTGCTCCAATCTGCTCCTTACTAGCCATCGTGGTTTAGGCATGATTCGGGTTTAGGCCCAAACCCCGGACAACAACGAGATTTCTGTGCACAACACACTCATTTTGGGTGTAAGATTGTGCCGCTGCAACTACACGCCATGACGTCTGCTGGGTCACATGGGCTTTTTTACAGAGATATTTATATGTATATTTATATGTATATTTATATTTACATTTATATTTATGTTCATATTTATATATTTGTATTTTTATACATTTATATATTCATATATTTATATATTTATATGTTTATATATTTATATATTTATATATTTATATATTTATATATTTATATGTTTATATATTTATATATTTATATATT